CATAAAACAGTATAAAATCTCAAAGACAACATACACGATGACCTGAAGGCTATGTGTGTTCATTCAAAGAAAGGTTTTCCTATGGAGTAATTAGTAGAAAATTCAATTTCTACTGTGCATTGTGCCTCTTGCTATGGAACATGCAGTGATTTTCCCTACTCACATTCCATCAGGTCGTAAATGGCTCTGGTCTTAGCAAAGGTGTCGGGGTTGCCATGGTAACCAGTGGCCTGTGGTCATTCGCAGACATCCTGGCGCCCAGTCTATTGGGTGAGGGGTCTGTGACGACTTGTTAATCTAATGAATAACTGATTTGTTAAATCAAATGAAAAATTGTGTTTTTGATTGGTCCAGACGCTACATATGTAAGGTAAAAGCAGATGCTTTTATCCAAAATGAATTACAAAAAGTAGAAGTGCTGCATTTAAAGTAGCTGCTAGTTAAAGGCATAGTTCACTCAAAAATGAACATGTGCTGTAAATGTACTCGCCCTCAGACCATCCAAGATGTAGAAGAGTTTGTTTCTTCATCAAAACATATTTGGAGAAATTTAGCATCACATCACTTGCTCACCAATGGATCCTGTGTGGTGAATAGGTGTCGTCCAAACAGCAGAAAAAACATCACAATAATCCACAAGTAATCCACAAGAATCCAGTCAACTTGGTGGATTTTGATGTGAGAGGACAACTGAGGAAATTTCTCCAGATCTGCTGCAATGAAAAAACAAACTCATCTCCATCTTATATGTATCAAGACAATGCTACTACTTCCACAACATGCTGCTGTGCCTGCACATATAACATATATGAAATAACCCCCATATAGCATATATGACATAGGCCGGCAGCCATATCACCCTGCAGCCCAAGACTGGTCACCCACTGAAGCTAAGCAGGGTTGAGCCTGGTCAGTACCTGGATGGGAGACATCCTGGGAAAACTAGGTTGCTGCTGGAAGAGGTGAAAGTGAGACCAGCAGGGGGTCAGTACCTGGATGGGAGACCTCCTGGGAAAACTAGGTTGCTGCTGGAAGAGGTGAAAGTGAGACCAGCAGGGGGTGCTCACCCTGTGGTCTGTGTGGGTCCTAGCACCCCAGTGTAGTGATGGGGACTCTATACTGTCAACAAGCTCTGTCCTTCAGATGAGACATTAAACCGAGTTTCTGACTCTCTGTGGTCATTAAAAATCCCAGGATGTCTTTCGAAAAGAGTAGAGGTGTGACCTCGGCATCCTGGCCAAATTTGCCCATTGGCCTCTGACCATCATGGTCCCTCTGTCTCCTCTCCACCAATGAACTGGTGTGTGGTGGGCGTTCTGGCGCACTATGGCTGCCGTCACATCATCCAGGTGGATGCTGCACACTGGTGGTGGATGAGGAGATCCCCCCTCACAATGTAAAGCACTTTGAGTGCTTAGAAAAGCGCTATATAAATGTAATAAATTATTATTATTATATATGAATCACCCCGTAGCAGATCTATACAGGTGGAGCTGGGGAAGGTGGAGGGTTTCTGAATGTGCTGCAACTGCTACAGTAAGCACTAGCAAGTATTTGAATGTTGAGCAGCAAGCTCATTGGCTACTGATACAAAAAGAAAAATGTTTTTTTCTCCAATGCATTTGCATTTGCTGCCAAAACGTTTGCATTCCTCCAAAAAACTTGAAATTTGGTCACAAAAGCATTAAAACATATTTTATCCTCTCACCTCGTATTATTTCCATAACCAGTTATGTATTTTCATAAGCAAAAGTTCTCATTTTTTCCCCCATGACTATGTGCTTTTAGGGTCTTTATTTCGTATTCTAAGCTCTATGTAACAATAACATTTTAAGTTTTTTTTTTTTTTACTTTTTTTTTTCTTTTTTAAATAAACTATTGACGAAAGAAATTTGTTTTGTGTTTACATTTGAACTTTAAAATAT